ATTATAAGACTCTGAAGAAAGAAGCTGAAGAAGATACACATAACTAGAAGCATACACTGTGTTAATGGATAGAACAAATTAACTTCGTTAAAATGTCCATACTACTCAAAGCAATCTACAGATTCAATGCAATTCCTATCAAAATACTAATGACACATTCACATTTCATACAAATGTTCCAAAAATGTATATGAAAACCACAAAAAACCCTGAATAGCCACAGCATGCTTGGGAAAGAGAAACAAAGTTGGAGGAATCACATTACTTGATATGAAACTATACTACAAGGCCACAGTAATCAAAACAGCAAGGTCCTGGCCTAAAGTAAGATATATGGATCAGTGGAATAGAATAGAAAGCCTAGAAATAAACCCATGCCTTTATGGTCATTAATACTTGACAAAGGAGGCAAAAACACACAATGGGGTAAAGATAGTCTCTTCAATAAATGGTGTTGGGATTATTAGACAGATACTTGCAAGAAAAAATGAAACTAGACCACCTTCTTATACCACACATGAGAATAAACTCAAAATAAATGAAAAACTTAAATGTTACATACAAAACCATAAGAATTAGAAAAATACATAGGCAGTAAGATTTCAGACATTTCTTGTATCAACATTTTTTTCTGAGGTATTTCTTTGGACAAGGAAAATAAAAGCAAAATGGGACTACATCAAACTAAAAAGTTTTTTCACAGCCAAAGAAACCATCAACAAAATGAAAACACAACCCACTTAGTAGGAGAACATATTTGCCAATGATACATCTAATAAGGAGTTAATATCCCTTATAAATTATGAAGAACTTATAAAACTCAACACCAAAAAAACCCACAAATGATAAAATTAAAAATGGACAAAGGACCTGAATAGATAGCTCTCCAAAGAGGACATACACATGTCCAATAGGCATATGAAAAGATGCTCAATGTCACTCATTATCAGAGAGATGCACATTAAAACCACAATGAGATACCACCTCACACCTGTCAGCATGGCTACCATCAATAAATCAACAAACAACAAGTGCTGGAGAGGATGTGGAGGAAAGGGAACCCTTGTGCACTATGGAGTCCCCTCAAAAAATTAAAAAGAAGTCTGCCTTATGACCCAGCAATTCCACTTCTGGGAATTTATCCAAAGTAACCCAAAACATTCATTCAAAAGAATATATGCATGCCTGTGTTCACTGCAGCATTATTTACAATTGCCAGAGTTTGGAAGCAGCCCAAGGGCCCATCAGTAAATGAGTAGATAAGAAAAGTGTGATTTAAAAAACTATGTCCATTTACACAATGGAATGCTATGCAGCCTTTTAAAAGAAGGAGATCTCACTCTTCACGACAGCAGGGATGAACCTGGAGAGCATTATGCTAAGTGAAATAAGCCAGTCAGAGAAAGGCAGATACCGTATTAGATTCAGGTGTGGAATCTAATGAAGAACATAAACTAACAAGCAAAATTATGACAGACTCACAGATACACAGCAGGCTGACAACTGTCAGTTGGTCTAGGCAGGGGTGTGGAGGGTTTGAGCCAAAAAGAAAAGAGAAAAAACTCACGGACACGGACAACAGTGTGGAGATTGCAGTGGGAGGAGGGGCTGATAGAGGTGGGGGAGGGTATAAGGGAGCTCAGTGGTGGATGGAGATGGATGAAGACCTGACCTGGGGTCATAAATACACAACAGTGAACAGATGATGTGTTATAGAATTGTGCTCCTGAAAACTGTAATTTTGTTAACCAGTGTCACCTCAATAACTACAATAAAAAGGAGAAAAATAAATTATTTTTTAAAAAGAGAGACAAAGCAAAAAGGCAGCCTCCTGCAAATGCGGGTAAGAGCCCTTACCATGAGCTAAGTGAGCCAGCACCTTGACCTTGGCGCCCCCAAGCCTCCAGAACTGTGAGAAGTAAATGTCTGTTGTTCAAGTCGCCCAGCCTCAGGATTTTGTTACAGCAGCCCAAACTGACTACAGCAGCATTTATACACTTTTAAAACGCTTGAAAAATATCCATTTGTACTATGTGTGATGTTATTCCTGATTATTTCCTTCAGCTAGATTTTGAGAAGTAGGGTTACTGGAAAAGACTATACAACATTTTTAAGGATCATGATGTAAATTTCTAAACATCTTTCCAGAAAGAATACATTCCTACCAATAGTGGATGGGAAATTCCATCTTTTAAACATTGCTTACTACCATATGTATATCTTTTCATTATCTGGATAATTTTTTTTATCTTGGTCTAAATTTTTGGTTTAAACATACAAAATAAATCTGAAGTTTCTTAGTCACATGCTGTGCAGTAATTCCTATTCAAATTTTGCTTTCCAAAAGGAGAAGACCATAAAAGGTGTAACTCCTCAAGAGTTGAAGTTCTGAACACTCCTTCTCAAGAGACTGTCCTCAGGCCCTATTCATAAGGGAATATAATGAAGGAATGGAAATGGAGTTACGGAGCTTTGAATCCACCCTTATGCCTTGACTTTCTCACCCACAGATTTCCTTCATTATGTCACATACTGAGACTAACATCAAACTTCCCTTAGAATTCAGAATATCGCCATACATATGCCCTGCTTCAACAAACCTAAGATGGGGTAAGTTGAGCTTTTTCTTTTTCTTTTCTTTATATTTTAAGACCAAAGGAAGAAATTTGAATAAAATCCCAAACTCTGGGATTAAGCCTCTTGACCAACCACTAGCCAGGAGTATTTGTAACAAGATCAGCACCTTCTGAACCTTCAGATGATCCGGATAGGGTGACGCCAACGCAGAATGCCAAAACGAGGCCAGAGCCCACGTTCCTGTAACCAAGGACATTATGAAATGAGCACCCGGCTCTCTGTAGACAGGGGCGATTTTAATCCACTCAGAAGAAGTTCCTAAGTATCTGCAGCCCTCTGCATGACTCTGGACTCACATAGATCTCTGGATGAATACTTCGAGATCCTATAAAACATGCACACGATAATTTTTAGCCTCATCCTCCTGAAGATAATTAAGTTGGTTTTTTGCAAGAGACAAACGTCCAAGTTTCTGTGGCTTAAAACAATGTAGGCATGTTTCCTGTCCACCTAGACTCCCCTGCAGGCCTCTCTCTGTCTTGTTGCTCAGCCTCTGGAACACGTGCCCCCAAAGTCACAGGGAGGGGAAGAGTAATCAGGGCGAATGCACCAGCTCCTGTCTCCCTCAGCTGGACGTGACCTGCCACCTCTGCCCTGTTTCAGTAGCCAAAGCGGCAGGGAAGACCAGGCCAGGAGAGGAGCAGAGGCCAAGGTGAAGAGCACTAGTGAAAGATCTGTAACCCGTGAAAGAGTTAAGGGAGGTCAGACGTCTACCAAAACCTGTTGATCGAAGAAGTTTGCCACCTTCTACTGAAAACACTAGTGAAACATAAGACGTTTGAGACCGAATCTCTACCCACAAATACTGTCAAGTTTGCGACACAGTGAAGGAGCCGATGAAAGATGCACAAATCACTTAAGGACCATTTTTCTTGTGCAGCACAGAAAAGGAAAACTTGAACAGGAGAAGGGGAGGTCCACGAATAACTAGGGTGGGCCTCACAAAGAACGCGGGTGTGCGTCTGTCCCTGACAGAACAGTGGGGTCACACAGGAGCAGGAGGGAGAAGGTGCATCAGAGGTGAGCTAGTGGGCCCCGGGAAAAGGGAAGGTGAGAATGAGCGGAGCAGCCTCAGAGAACCTTCAGGAAACAGGCCTAATTAGAGGAGAGAGCACATTTGGAGACATCATGGGAGATACAATTAAATAGACAGAGAGAGGATCTTGTAAACCACAGAGAGGGAACTTCAAATTGATACAGTGGGAAATTGGCAGGCGTTTATGGTTCCTGAGCAAACGGAGATCTATTTGTTTAAGAATTACGCTCCACCTCTCTCCACGAGGGCACGAAGTAGCTTGCACAATTAGGCATCAAGGAACCAAACCAGGCAGAGCCTGCAGGATGGTTTTAATGGACTTAATGAATTCAATGGAACAGAAGGAAGAGGCGCTGGGCCGCCCACCACGGGGAACAACAGCTGGGCAGTGATTACCCGACTGTGCCGTGAGTTTAGCTCTTCATTTTCTTACTTAAAACCAAAAAGGAGGATAAATTGGGTTAAACAATTTTTACTGCCTGGGCCCAAAGAAAAGAACCTTCTCCTACCTGCGTCACGAAAGAGCAGCGTCTGAGAAAGATCCAACTGGCAGCGTCGGCAAGGGGGGTGGAAGGACCGGCAGGAGTCAGGGAGGAAGCCACCGCGGGCCCCGCAGGTTCCGCAGCCCACACCCGTAGGACCGGGAAGGGTGGCAGTGGCCCGCCTGCTGTGAGTTCCGCGTGCTGTCTCCAGGCAGCCACTGGGAGGAAGTGTTGCTCAGGGCCAGTGGGGGCGCTCTGGAGTTTTCTCCATTTGTCGGTGACGTGACGGAGCCGGAAACCAGGAGCTGCAACCTGAGCTCAATGCAGGGTGAGTCCCTTTGCCTCCAACTCGGGGCTTTTATTTCTAACACGGGGCAGAGCATGGCTGCTGCCCACGCTCCGCTGGAGCTCACACTGGTTCCTGAGACAAGGGAAGGACAGGCCTCGTGAGAATAATTTAACTCGCCGCGACTAAGGGTCCTGCTTTGGGAGCACCCACCCTCCACACAGAAGAACCACAGTCTGAAAGGTAGGAGAGGTCTTTGGCCGTCATTCACAGCGCCCGCCCTTCTTCACGGAACGCCACATTGTAAATCATTGTCATGGTTCCTGTTTTAGAGTCTTTGGAACAGAAGGTGGCATACTCTCTAATTGATAGACGGCCTTAGACACTATCAAATATATTCAGTTTACAGATTGCTGTTTTTATAAGGATAATTCAATGTAAACCCTCTCTATCACAGAATAAGGAAACCAATGCAAAAAAGGTTTAAAATGCAATAACCATAAGAACTATCATTTATTTTTTTAATATTTTATTTATTTATTTTTAGAGAGTGGGGAAAGGAAAGGAGAAAGAGAGGGAAACATCAATGTGTGGTTGCCTCTCACATGCCCCCTACTGGGGACCTGGCCTGCAACCCAGGCATGTGCCCTGACTGGGGATCGAACCAATGACCCCTTGGTTAGCAGGCCAGCGCTCAATCCACAGAGCCACACCAGCCAGGGCACAACTATCATTCTTAAGGTTTTAAAACAAATTAAGTGAAGAAACTTCTGACAAAATGGTAAACCCCCGGCACATGGCCTTGAAGCTTGCTCTGTTTCATTTTCCAAGCACCCAAAACCCTGTGGTGCGTACTCTTGTGTGATCGCCAGCGAAGGGCATTTCATGAAAGGTCTGTCGGAACTGTGCACCTGAACTTACTAAGAGGAGGCGATAGCGACTGGCTTGTTCTCACCTGGCACCAGCTCCTGTGTAACAGAGAACATCAAATTTCAGAATCTATTCAAGGAAATACGAACTAATTGATTACAAAGAAACATCCCCACAGTAGGTCAACACCCTCTCTGCCATGCCCAACACTAGTGCTGATTTCTGAGTGATAATTAAATCAACCTTCTTCCTGCACAGATCTTGATTCTCGTCTCATAATATGGATGGAACAGTTGGTTCTTGGGGCTGACGTGTGACAGTCTTCGAAGTCACTGCACTGTGGGCTGTGGACCTCAGAAACTATTCAAGACACAATGACATGTTTGGGGCTCCTTTGAAAGAAAAGGAACCATTCTCTTCATTTTACCGTCTTTGGGCCATGCTTCAAACTGATGCCCAAGGGATTTGGGAGCTGGACAATTCTGCGAAGTGACAGTCTACAATGAAAGAAAAAGAGGGATAACTTCAACAAAATATGAACATTATAAAGTCAAATACGATGCAACATTCTTCTGAGATTCTGCAAACAATGGACTAATTCTTTGATTCTGTCAGATAAAATTAGAAATAAAAAGTTGCTTTGTTTTTTGTACTTTTTCTTTGTTTATTTTGTTTGTTCATTGAGTTTGCCTGTTTTTTTTTTTTAAATAGAGACAACCAGGGGAAAATGCACTCAAAATATCACTGTTTAGGTATATGTAGATAATATAGAAAACATTGTTAACAGATGAGATAGTGTAGCATATTCATGAATATATAGCTTTACATCTTTATTTTATTTTCTTAAAATTTCATTTAGCACTGGCCAGTGTGGCTCAGTGGATTGAATGCCAGGTTACAAACCAAAGGGTCACTGGTTCCATTCCCAATCAGGGCACCCACCTGGGTTGTGGGGTAGGTCCCCTGTAGGGGCCGAGTGACAGGCAACCACAAATTGATGTATCTCTCCCTCTGTTAACAGAGTAGTTGCCTCTCTCATGCCCCCTACCTACAACCTGGCCTGCAACCCAGGCATGTGCCCTGACTGGGAATCAAACCAGCAACCTTTTGGTTCACAGGCTGGGGCTCAATCCACTGAACCACACCAACCAGGGCTGTAGCTTGACATCTTTAAATGCATATCATCAAATTGACCCAAGTGGGTCAAACTGAGGCACTACTGACAATCAATAAGTATTTAGCCATTTTGACTGTCTACTTTACCTTTTATAACTTATGACAGGTTCTTTCTGTAAGCAATGCCATCTTAATTTCCTAAATGTATACTTTTATTTTCAATATCTAAGGATTATTAATACAAAGGGCCAATAAAATACTTTAAATTAGCAAATGATTTATTCAAAATGAAAACCCGAGAAGACGGTAAGACTTCCACATTATACTCTTACGAACTGGTGAACTTTCAAATGCTCTGAGTTCAGATCAATTTTAACAACCCACCTACACTGAGCAGATCACACTGACCTCTCTATGATTCATTAATGATCAAAAGCGGATCACTTCTGATTCCGGAAAACACTCCAGCAGCCTTGGGAGACGGATGCAGGACGAGATAAGCTTCCAGTCGCTCCCCTCACTCTAGCACCTCAGTGCTGCCCGGCCAAATTCTCATCCTATCAAAGGGCACTTCACCTGGGACTAAAGTTCTGTTCTCAACAGCTTAAGCCAAGAAGTTCCCTTCCAGTGAGAGGCAATTTGCCAACACATACCAAACACCTACTCTTCCTAACCACTTACACATGAATTTGCTAGCAAAAATGTTTTCATCTATCTGTTTATTCAGCATGCTGCAGGAGCATACATAAGGTTATATATCCATAAGAAGTATGTATATAACATTCATTAAGCCTGATATTTATCTGAAAATTTACATAAGTAAATTATGGGTGATACTTAGATTTTTAAGTCCTTAACATGTAGAGACCCTACACTGCACGCAGGGACAAACAGGTAAGTCGAAAATAATGCAAACCATGACCTCTGACCCTCAACCAGTCTAGCAGATAACATCACAGTTACATATCCACAAGGCACCCAGATTTCATGAATTCTAGACCTTTGCAGAATATACAGCGGGTATAATGTAAATATCTATTTTTCAAACTTGTGTTACGACCCCACGAAAATAATGTAACATGCCAATATTTTATAAGAATAGTCCTCACTGTATTTTATAGTTTGATAAAACATTTTTAACTAATCTCACCTCTCTCCAAGCCTGTAACCCCGTAACGTGTCCAGCAAAAACTGGCATTGAGGAGCAGGCTGTACATTATGCAGAAGATAATGGGCGAGCGTATTCCAGGGGTAAATTTATGGATGAGACGGTGCGACATGAACTGACCTGACTTCTGTCGGTAACACCTGGCTCCATCGGTTTTCTGACTCGTCACCTGTTCATACCACTCCTTGAGGCACAAGGAGACAGATGACTCTTGTAACAGCAAAACAATGGGCATTGTGTAAAAGACTCGGAAATTTTCTGCCACAAACTTCGGAAAAGGCTTGTTTTAAGTTTAGTGTTTTAACCTTATATATATTTTTCTTGTAACCTCTTAATAACATTTGTGCCAGAGTGGGCTTACTATGCCATCTTCAGGACAGTGGGAGAAAACAGCCCTGCGAAGGAACAGAATTCACTGTCCCTTATGGCTTTTTAAGTTATTATTTTAAGAATGCAGAAAGTTTTGTGTATGTTTTTATTTTAAAATTATAAAATGTGTGATTACAATTCTATTATAAAGCAAAATAATACAAAGTTTAATGTATGTGGGAATATAGGCATGACAATGTTTGCATGTAAATGCATACATGTAAATGCTCTGTGCGTGCATACATACGTTTCAAGTACTTTGCAGTCTGCACAGCACTTACATATTATCTCATTTTGTACTTACAGCATTCCTGTGAGGTAGGAGGAGCAGAAACTAACATAATCCCTGTAGGAATGAGAAAACTTAGGCGTAAAGACCTAAGTTAGTTTGTTCGAAGTTTCAAAGTTATTGAGCCACATAGCCAAGATTCGAGCCTACATCCTTGTACTCTAAGAAAAGAATTAGTTCTGCTGTCATAGTGATTATTTTAAAAATCAATGAAGAAACTTATATGTAACCTCTAAATGTTCTTTTTCAATAGTTTCTTAAATCATCTCTACTGATAGTTGGAATAAGTCCTGCATGGGATCGCCTCACACCAGGGCGGCAGGGTGTCTAGCTCAGTTACCCCTGAACTTGACTTAACTAAGACACCTGTAGTAAGACAGGACATACCTCATTAATAGAAAATGATAGTAGAATTCTACAAATCAATTCACAAATAGAAAAGAAATTGTCTACATGATAAACCAGAATATGCAAATACAAATTTGCCATTCTTCCCGCTCAGGGCGACCGCACACCCCGGTTTGCCTGGGACAGCGGTAATCACTCATAAAACACTTTAATGGTCCGCTGAGAACGGTTTATGAAGTACAGTGGTACAGCTGATCCGACGGTGTGAATGACAACCCACAGACAGACAGGCAGGTCCGTGAGAGCACCAGACAGGCAGAAATCCATTCACTGAACATGCATCCTGGAAACTCAGTCAGCTTACGATCAGAAAACACATGTTCCGATTCCAGCTTAGTCTTCCGTGAAGCTCCCGAATTTGTACAGATCTCCACCGGTCTCCAAGCCTCTATGTCCCTATACAAGGGAGATAATGCCTCCTCCCCAAGGTCTGTGTAGGACTAAATAAAACCACCTTGTGAATTCCACTAGAACTATGCCCGGCAGCCAAAACATTATGAATGAACGTTCATTATGAATCCGTAGCCGAACAGGAAAGACATCCAACAGAGAAGTTGTTGAGTGAATTTTAAGGGACAGGGCAGGCCTTACTTTTCTCTGTTTCGCTAACCTAATCAAATTCATCTATTTCTTTAAGTTGAACAATTCTCACAAACAAAGCAACAAAATATGGCTTTCCTTGGTGTGGAAGAAAAGACAGTAACCCGCTGGGTGCTGATTTGGATGCGGGCTCCATGGTGTCATAGGCGTTTCCACTGCAATGCCCCTTCCTAAAGATCCCGCTCCTCCGCTTATGAGGTGTGAGCCTGATTTGAAAGCCTCATGTAAGCCAGGATTGCACCCCCTAAAAACAAAGTATAAAAACATGTAAATATTCATACATGTGTGTGTAATACACACATATGTACAACTATACATACAACCTCAAGAGGTTTATGCAAGTCTCTGAAGCCTATATGATAGATTTTTGGTCACGAATTTCTAAACTCGGGCAATAGCATACTCTTTGTTAACCACATAATTTATGCAGTATTACAGATATTAAATGGCTGAAATAACTGTTTAATGAGGCAGCCTTCCTACATAGCTGCATAGTGATATCTTTCCACTCTGTTCCACGCTGGCTGGTCCCTTTACATTTTAGTCTATACTAACCTGTCTCGTTTAAGATAAGTAAATAAAGCTGATTTAACCAATTGTATTGGTTTTAGACGGTCAAGTTTGGAGTCCCTGCTGCAGAGTGGCAGCTTGGTTTCCAGACTCATACCACAGGGGCCAGATGACACCAGCGGCTGGTGAGTACCCTAAAGGAGGTGGGCCGGGAAGGGACAAGGCATGGAGCAGGGTGGACGGCGCTAGAGGAGCTGCATCTTGCTGGCACCCAGATCTGGGGCAGACCTGAGGGGACAACGTCCCCCACAAAGCCACTCTTGGTGTCTAAGTGGACCCTGTGGTTTGCATTTGCATGAAAATAAATGGTGGGTGAGAACAGACAGTGCTCAGTCTCCCTGAAAGAAAGCAATCTTGACACTTGACAATAGCCTAAAGGAAAAATCTTTTCTTAGCCAAAATTCCAAATAGAACAAGTGGGGAATGAGAGTGTATTCGAGGGTAAGTTTCAGCATTTATTCATATTGACTTTGTTTCCAAAAGGGTTTGAGAGGACTTCAAGAGGAATTAAGGATGTTTTTCAAATTACTTTGGAATTAAGTGCATTAGTGATGAATCACTTAGCATTGTGTAAGAATTGGTTCAATGGTAACACTCCAGGTGCACGAGAAGAGAGGGTAACTGAGTCCAAAGGTCTCCAGGACTCCGACGCCCAAGTCCCTATTCTGAGGAGGCCACGCGTGTCCCCGGAGATACCCACCATCTGAACGAAAGTCCAGTCGGGTGGTCTCTGCACTGCTGCTGGTGAGCAGAGAGGGGGCAGGAAGGCTGCACGCGTAGCACCTGCAGGTCGATTCCTGCTTCGATCCAGAAACACAGGCTGGGAAAACACTGATTCCGGAGTGTGCAGAGGAGAAGGGGACACAGACAAGAAACAATTAAGGTGACAAGAAAGGGCGTGGTGCTAGATATGAAAAGGCGATCCGAGGTACAAGAGAGAACATAGACCGAGGGAGAACGGATCAGAAGAGCGGGGC